ACCAAGATGTCAAGGGCTTAAAATTTCTATTAATTTCCTCAAAATTTTTAAAGGGTACTCGAAGAAACAGAACTTGAATTGGTTCTCTAAAGATTAAGAATTATGGCAACTTCGGCCACCTGTAAATCAAAGTCAATGGCCTCACAAGCTTTCTTGTGAACCACATGATCCCTCCTCCCTGCTCCAAGCATAAGAGTGTTTGAGAGCTCCTAAGAGGCTGACAAGATGAAGAGAACTGAATGAGGAAGCAGAGAGTTAACCCTACAAATGAAGAGATTTTAGTATCCGACAAATTGTAATACCACATTCTTAGAAAGTCCTTGAAGGTGGTGGAATACACGTCGAACTTAGCACATCAGCACATCATGGAGTAAGATAACATAATAAAGCAAGAAATCACACTCAAAGACATCTATAGAATCAATATCACCTTTCTAGCCACCATTAATATTCAGAGGGACAGACTCAACTAATATTTCAGGGATTATAGGAGAAGCATGATGATCACCGCGGCGAGTTTCATCAAAGAATGGCATTCCATGATGGAGAGATGGGTTGTTTCCCTTATTTGTGAAGGTGACAAGAAAAGCAATAGTTGGTGTCAATAATATGGGAGAAACAATCAATTCTAAATATGACAAAGGAGAAACAATCAATTCTAACTATGACAGCTTGAATCAGAAGAAAATGTTGGGTATTAAGTATTAGCCTCAGTAAACTGAGCATCGACATGTGTTCGAGAGGCATAGATTGGACGAATCACTACGGGTTGACTCAACACTTCTCTAACTCAACAGTTAAACCACTCATTGTTGGTGGTGGGAAGTTTTCACGGCATTAGTGGTCCACCATGGCTCTTTTTCCTTCAATTCAAACTTCTTCCAACACAAAAGGCAAAAAAGTGTTAATACCAATTTTATCTTGCCTATTCAGTCGAGCAAACAAGGTTAAACAAACTGCTTAGAACATCAGAAAAGAAGATTTACATACACATTCTACTCATTTATTTGCATATCTAACACCTAAACTTCAATTTTTACATCCATGTCACCTTATCAATGGATGAAATGGTGTATTTCTCTTTTCAAAAGTTAAAATCTTCGTATTTTGATGTGATATGACAGATTTGTGTGGTATAAATGTAAAAAGTAAAATTTAGGTGTTAGATATGTAAACACATAGGAAATGGGGGGTATGCATGTAGATCAAGGGTTGAAGTGAGTTCAGTGAGAGCAGCAGGCATGGAGGATAGAACTACAATAGTTTTACGAGGATTTCCATATGGTGAAACAAAGGCGTGAATTTTGTTTCCCTTCCCTTCCCATATCATCGGCATCCAAACCACGATCAGATTAATGAAACGGCATAAATTAATACTATTCTAAACCATCTGAATTTTAGGAAACCCTAGCAGATCAATGTCATTCGATCCATCCATTCAGCATAAAAACTAAGATAATATGTGAACCCAATTGAATACGCGCATTAAAAATTCTACAATTAACACGTTATGGTATAACTATTCGTGCAAAGCGATTTTGAACTGCCTCCGAGGATTCAGTATTCAGTTTTTCTTGATTTCCATGATGCTCTTAACCTTGGGCTCGTAAAGGGAGAACACCAGCACCTGCCTCCTGGCAACCTCGAGCTGGGACTTCCCGTCGGAAAAGGCCGCGGCGATGGAGATCGGATCGGAGATGCAGCGATTCTCCCGGAAGCCATCGATCGTCCTCCTCCTGGTGTACTCCCTGATGTTGTAGTCGGTGAACTTCGAAGCTGTGCGAAGAAGAGATCGGAATAAAAATAGCACTTCAGTTCTTGTCGGAAACGCCGCCGTCGTCGCCGCCGATGCCGCCATGGGTTAAGCTGCTGAAGATTTATCCTCTTATTTCCAGGTGCGCCGGCTAGGTTTCCGGGTAGAAGAGAGGAACGGAAGATGGTATTGCGGCTTTAATTTTGTTTTTTTTTAAGTTAATTTAGTCTATTAATAACTAATAATTAATTAATATGTTAAATATATAAATTCATATGTAACTATTTAATTATTAATTAATAAAAAAAATTATATGCTAAATCAAATTATTTTAATGAAAAATTTAATAGTTGTTAATTAGTTTAATAAATAAATAGATAAAATTTAATTAATTAACATTAAATTATTATTTAATATAATTAGTTTAATAAATATATTAATAAGAATAAAATAATTCAATAAATATTTAAATATTGCTTCATATAAATAAAAATTTTAAATAAAGTTTAGTTAGACTTAATAATTATAACATTGATCTGATTATTTTATAAGTAAATATTATAAATTAAAAGTTAGATTTGTAAACACATAAAAATTATGTGATGTAGATGTAAATCCTCAAAATTTCTTATGGCTTTCACTTGGGGAGACATCTTCATTTTACAAGTTTTTTCTTATAAAAAGTCTAAACTTAAAAGAGCAAATAAGTCTCAAGAATCTTGTGATATAGCAACTTCTAAGATTTTTAGGAATTATTAGGGTCCGCTTGAGACAGTTTATTTTGGTACGGTGGCATTTTGAAAACGCACTTGGACTGTTTGGATAAACTGCATTTTGACAGCTTATACGTTTTGAAAACGTTGAAAGCAGTGTTTTACACCGCACCCGACAACTTTCTAGCAACGGTCTGACTTCTCCAAAAAAATAAAAATTTGTAATAGCCACCGCATATAGCTTATTAATATATTATTTTTAATCAGCTTATCAATATATTAATCATTTGAGAAGACTTTACGATAGATAAAACATCGTGGTTGTTTAAATAGCGTGGAGACTAGAGAAATACGCCATGATACTTCTCATTTTGATTTTGAAAACATATGAACAACGATCCGAAACGACATAATGTAGGGCCAAAGGGGAGATCTTAAAACGACGAAGTTTATCCCCAGAACTCCCTCTCAAACTAGAGCGCTTATTTCATCCGGAGATCGCAGGCAGAGCTGCAAGCAGAGTCGAATGCAAGCTCGCCACGTGGAATTCTGGGACCCATCACAACATAAGGTAAAATAAATTAATTAAGACAGACGATCCGGCTCGTCTGAAACCCGACCCCGCCCAAGAAGAGAAAAGATGACTTTTTGCCCGTAATATAACACAGGTACATGTTATTCCGCCGTCACGGGTATTTAATAACACGTTATTTATCGAAAATCTTGTGTTATAATTTAATTAAACCACCTTATTTTCAGAATAATTCCTATAATAATTAATATATATATTACTTAATTTATATATTACTTATATAAATTGATATATTACTCATATAAAATTTTGCGGTTAAACTGCTGCCTATAACGCAGGTAGGTGTTATTCTACCGCCTATAAAGTAGGGAGGTGTTATTCCGTTGCCTATAACGTCTCCCCTTGTTATTCCTCTAAGGTATAACACATGGGGAACATTTCCCCATGTGTTACCACGGTGTATATTCCACATGTGTTACCGCGGTATATATTCCACATATGTTTTACCCCCGTAATATAGCACATATACGTGTTATTCTGCCGTCACGGGTATATAATAACACATTTATTTATTGAAAATTATGTGCTATACTTTAATTAAACCACATTATTTTCATAATAATTCATATACCATGATATATTACTTATATAAATTGATATATTACTTATATAAATTTATACTTAATTTATCTTAATTTTTTATACTTAATTTATATATTTACCTAATTTTGCTATTAAACCGCCGCCTATAATACAGGTAGGTTAGGTGTTATTCCGCCGCCTCTTGTTATTTCGCTGAGGTATAACACATGGGGAATATTCCCCTTGTGTTATAGCCCGTAATATAACACATATACGTGTTATTCCGCCGTCACTAGTATATAATAATGCGTTATTTATCGAAAATATTGTGTTATACTTTAATTAAACCTCATTATTTTCAGAACAATTCCTATAATAATTCATATACCGTGATATATTACTTAATTTATATATTACTCATATAAATTGATATATTACTTATATAAATTTATACTTAATTTATATATTTACCTAATTTTGCGGTTAAACTGCCGCCTGCGTTATTCCGCCGCTAATAACGCCTCCCCTTGTTATTCCGCTGAGGTATAACACATGGGGAATATATGTTACCGCAATGTAACACATGAGGAATATTCCCCATGTGTTATACCCCCATAATATAACACATATACGTGTTATTCCGCCGTCACGGGTATATAATAAAGTGTTATTTATCAAAAATCTTGTGTTATAATTTAATTAAATAGCATTATTTTCAGAATAATTTCTATAATAATTCATATACCGTGATATATTACTTAATTTATATATTACTTATATAAATTGATATATTACTTATATAAATTTATACTTAATTTATATTTTTACTAATTTTGCAGTTAAACCGCCGCCTATAACGCAGGTAGGTGTTATTACGCCGCCTATAACGCAGGTAGGTGTTATTCCACCGCATATAACGCAGGTAGGTGTTATTCCACTGCCTATAACGCCTCCCCTTGTTATTCCCTCGAGGTATAACACATGGGGAATATTCCCCATGTGTTACCGCGGTGTAATACAGGGGGAATATTCCTCATGTGTTATACCACCGTAATATAACACCAATACATGTTAGTCCGCCTTCACGGGTAAATAACAACACGTTATTTATCGAAAATCTTGTGTTATACTTTAATTAAACCACATTATTTTTTAAATAATTGTGTTATACTATAATATATACGCATTATATTGTGTTATTACGAGTTATTGACGCGTTATTTAACAAGATTTAAGTGTTATACCGCATTATTGTTGCGTTATTGTTCAAAATTCAAGTGTTATACCGAGTTTAAGTTGTTATAACAAGTTCAAAATTCAATTTTATCATGTTATATGACTTTACAACTTGAAAATTTCAAAATTTAAGTGTTATATCGTAAAATAGTTACTTCTTAAAATATTCAAATATAAATAAAGTTCAAAATATAAAATAATCATGTTATACTACAATATATATTCGTTATATTGAAAATACATGTGTTATAATTAATTATTGAAGCGTTATTATAAATTTTCGTGTGTTATGAATGTGTTATCATTGTGTTATGCTTGTGTCACACCAATAACACAACTATAACACAATAATAATACAACAATAACACACTAAAACACACTATAACACATATATAACACATCTATAATGCATCTCTAAATAACATAACACAATAATAATACAAAATAACATATCTATAACACCATTATATCAACATATCACAACAATAACACACAACACACTTATAACACACAATAACACATCTATAACACACAATAACACACAATAACACACAATAACACAACAATAAAATGATTATAACACACAATAAATCACTAGTTGTTGCAACGAAACGACTAAGCCATAATATTTGGAATGAGTATTGTATAACCTACCTTCCGTTTCCAAGAGTCGAAACCGAATGGAGTACCATCACCAACCGTCCGAATGGAGAATCACTGTCGCCGAAGACAAACCGCCGTCTGAAGTGCCGAAGAACGCAGGAAAAGCCGAAGGATGAAGAGACCCGAAGCCAAAGGAGGAAGAAGTCGAATGCGAACCGACGAAAGGCTCCAAAAACGCCAAATCTAACATAAAACAAGTTTTTTTTTGTTTCGAGATTTAATTCGGGCCGGGTTCACGATAAACATACCTATTAAATTTTTCACATTGATTCGGGTCGGGTCAAGCTTCTTTTTTAATTTTTATATGCTGTGGGACCCAATTCCACTTATACTCTACTGATTGGACTTCGCAAGCAACTCATCATGCAGTCCTGAAACAATAAAAATTCCTCATACGAGGCCTAAACTAGTTAACACTCACATGCATGACAAACCATTAGTATTTTTATAAAATCTCTAGTAATATAGACTGAGTATTGAAATTATTAAATTATGATTGGACTCATCGAATGATAATATTTTCATATTTCAGGATGATATATTATTTCTAATTTTGTATATTATCATAAAAATGAGCAACTTAAGCTCTTATTTGATCCATATTTCTCAAGCAAGGAGCCTCGAAGGCCAAATGATTAATGACCAACTTCTAATTTGAGGGTACATATATTAATCACCCATTGTAAAGATTAGAGTGTTATGTATGTAAATATGAAATTTTAGTTGTTAGATATTTAAATAAATAAGAATTGTATGGTATGTATGTAAATATCCCTTTTTTTATTAGGGTTTTTATTTTTATGATTTTTTATGTATTTAAAATTGTAATTAATTTATAGAATTTTAATTTTAATATTTTTGAGGGGTTTTATAAGAATTTTATACTAATTATGAAACTTTTGGCATTAAAATCGTGATTAACATAGATTAATTTCTACTATTTTTTAATTGTAAAATATGGATATTATGATTCAAATGTCTTGAATGTATAATAATTTTTTTTTCATAAATGAAAATAATAAAAAAGTATGTTAGCAGATCTCATGGGCATAAAAGGCCCAAATTAATTTTTTAATAAGAACTCAGTCACCCTTTATCTTTTGAGGTTAGAAGGGCTCCTCTCTCTTTCTCTCTCTCTCTCTCCTCCCTCCCGCCCTCCCTCCTTTACACATTCCTCTTAAAAGTAGGGTCCTCATCAAGTTGTATAAACTCACATACAATAACGACCTAGAAAGAATTCGAGAACATAGTTGAAAATTTTAAGTTTGACTATGAATAATTTTAGCGATCTATATTAATATGATGTATGATGAAAATGTGTCATCCTTTGGCTCTTTTCTCTAACTCATCTTTTGTAAGGAGATCTCACTCTCTCTTTCTCTTATACTCCCTATATTATATATATATATAT